CATGCCAGCCCAGTGTACATAGATGTGCTACTGCTGCTCAGTTAAGTTCATAACTAGTTCCAGCTGTAAGAGCACAGCTGGAACTAGAACATGCAGAAAAGTAGATGCAGTGAAATGAATCATTAAAATGTATTCACTGTAAAAACAGTATGAGGACATTTTTACATATACATACTGTACATAATCATCCAGTCGATTTATATCCATTCAGTATTTATTTCTTTGCACTTTTATTGTTTGTAACTTACAGAACACTTGACTTGTAGATATACATTCTATTTATTATTTTATTGTTGGTCATTGGTGCTTTTTTAAAATATATATTTATATAATTTTTAGATTTATTTACTATTTGTGTACATAACAGTCTTGCCTATTCTTTACCTTTAGCTGTTTATTTCTATTTATGTGTAAGTAAATTGAGAAAGATGCAAAAAATAAAGACAAATTCCTTTTATGTGCTCGCATACTTAAAGCTGATTCTGATTTAACGTGGACATTATTTTGAAAACCGGAAGTTGTCTGTATCCTTCATCCCTGCCAACTTGACACCAATTTGGTTCATCGAGTGAAAAGTGTTACTGTACAAATAACAAGCTTAGGAGACCTGTCCCCCAAAAAACGAGTCAGTGTCCCGGAGACACACTGCACCTTCTCTGTAGTCGTTAGGCTACAACCTGCTAAGATGACAGAGATGAGGCACCGTGGAGGCAAAGACACCGACTCACCGTTACAACAGCAACCGTCAGAGGACAAGGTAGTTAGCCTCCGTCCTACCTTCCAACTGACAGCGATGCTAACGCTAGTTAGCCTGCTAGCTGTTGTGTGTAGCTACAGGAAAAGTAATGTCAACATCGATTTTAATCCGACATTTTGACGTCGCTCACGTATCAGGAGAAGAACAACTGTCACCTAAAGGCTTCATACAAATCATCCGCCAAACTACTCACGTTTTAGAGCTGATTGGTTGATGCTACGTGCAGGTCTTCCTGTGCTTTCGTCGTGACAACAACAGACAAACCAAATGCACAAGTTAAAATGGTATCGAAATAAACTCTGCTCTCTTTATCATATGACGTTATATGCCGACGTATATAATGGCTTGTAAGTTGTATTTGAATCGGTGTTGTTTATGTCATGCTAAGCAAAGCAATAGTTAAATTGTAAACAATTTGAATTATGTGTGGAAAGATGTTTGTAGCCACATAAACGGTGTTGACGTCAGGTCTACGACGCGTCGAACAACAACTGCTTCCGGCGTTCTGCTGTCTAACGACACATTATAACTACTAACTATATTCAAACTGAGGGGTAAACAAAAGGCATTTTCTGGATGTCGAAGTTGCTTCCCAGGGAATAGTCGGAGCCCACAAAGGGGCGTGGCTATGGACTCGAGGACATGATGATTACTTCAAGCTGCTGAAGAGCAGCTTGAAACAGAAGTGAAAGTACTCGAGGCATCTCGAGGTACTCGAGGCATCATCCTCGCAACAAAGCCACACATTAGGGCATATTAGGCGAATGGTGACTTACTAATGAAGCACACTCAGTCCACAAAGTGCCTTGACTTTGTGTTATTTATTATTGTATGTCTAGGCCGACAGTGAGCACTTAAAGAAGCTTCTGTTGAGGAGTGCTTGTCAGGTTATACAGTCAGTTAATTACTTTCCACAATCTGGTTTAGTGCTATTTAGGTCATATTCCTACAGTTTTAAAGAGGATCTCATGTCTCTCTTTTATTATTTAAATTAAAAAGTGACATATCTTCAGTATGACCTGGTTTATTTAATTTGTCGTCTCTACAAATATGGAAAATCCATCCTGTATTTTTTTTAAAGTAACCTAACCATTTTTTTTGCCAGTAGTTGGTGAAGTAAAGCTCAAAAAGCAGGCACTTGAACCTCACATGTGGACTGAAACCATCTGTGAGATAATCTTTAACTGTTTTTACATGTGGAATTAATACCAAAGCAGATATCTGGCTTAATCCTGCGTAAAGACAAGATCCTGGAATCATATAATATACAGGGTGATGGTATAATAGTAGTTTAGGGTAGGCTGGTCAAAATGCAAGTACAGATGTGGGAACCTATGTGTCCTATGTGGAAATGAATATTTAATAGTCATGTGGTTTAGGTGAGGGAGGACCACATGTCACACAACAAGTTAATTTCTGTAGGACATATACAGCTGTTCTGGTGGACTCTGCTTCCAGCAACAAAGTGATCATACCAAGTAGAAGGTGGGGATAAAGTAAAATAAAGGTTAAATCTATTCTGGTCCTGCCATGATCTTTTTGTGTTGATCAGCTTAAGAGGAACAACTCTACAGATAATAACATTGGTTTATGAGATGAGGAGGACAGCAGTTTAGGTTAGGTACTTTGTGGTTATGGTGTTTTGCATAAATGGTGATAGTAAAATGACTAGTGAAAATCACTTCACAGATTTATGAATGAGTCACACTGTGATCAATCTATGTAAACATTAAAGACGCCTCGAAATTCCACTGCGAAACCCATTTCTCAATACGTGCGTGGAGCAACATCTGGTTGTTCGTAATTATAGACGTTGTGTGTTCGGGAAGTCTCGTTCTAAATAAGCATCTGAACACACGCGTGTGGTCTTTAGCTATTTAAAACATTTCAAAACAGTTGCTCTAAATTATTTGTGTCGGATGAACTCACAGCACAACACAGCTGAGAAGGTGAGTCACAAACCTCTTTTCCTTTTTTGCAGTATTTCTAAAGGGCTCACACTCCTCTGGGTTAAGACTTTAAATAATCCCAGTACACAAATGTTTCCTTTCACAACTGGCAGATGTAGCTTTTTTTTCCAATGAATTGGAGACAAACAACACGGAGACACTCGGTGTTGAAAGCATGAAGGGGGAGGAGCCTTGATGTGAAACAAGCGCCTATTTTTAACTCGAGCATCCTGAGTGATGGATATCGTCTCCATAGAAACCAGTCGGCGGAAAATGGGCCTCTGTGTTTTCTTGTTCTTCTGCATTCAGTTGAGCTATTGACAGTGTGTCTTGTCAGAGTGTTGCATGAAGAAAAGCCAATGGACTTTTCCAAAATTGTGGAAAATGTACAGTTTTGGTTTCATTTAGCTGAGTTGATCCAGAGAGCCAGTTAGAGAATCAGTGTTTTGTGTTGGGACACTGTGACAAAGGAGGACACACACCAACTGTTGCAGCTGTTAAAATCTGATCCTCGGTATTCAATCTGAATTAAAGCTGTGAGCTAGAGAACACATTGATATTGAATAGATTTGATGTTTAAAGGAGCAATATACGACATTCAGAGCATCAATATAGCAGTAATTCTAATTGTTAACGTGTGAGACTGACAGTGAGCCGACCGTCTGCTGTGTGACTGTGAGGTGAGACCTCCGAGCCTAATTTGGTCACCAGTAGCAGAGACGTCAAACTGACCTCAAGAAAACCCTCTGTTTGCATCAGACGAGCTGTAACCGCGTGTAACCGCCACCGCCTGATGACGGCCGTCCTTTGATCGTAGCATAGAGCGGTAGAGACCAGTGTGTTGTGAACGGGCCTCCGCCAATGAACAGATGGTTCTGGGAGAGCAACAATATGGACGGAGATGATTTGGTGCAGCGTTTAGCCGCCCACACACACACTCACTCCTACACTGGCAGTCCTGTTGCTGGTGTTTTGGTTTATTCTGATATGATGAAGCTGCTGCTGCTTGTTCAATGACATATACATTTGTTTCACTACGCATCAATTCACAGAACACAGAAGATGTGTGCTTTGTGAATTCAGTAGATATCAGACAGAAGTGCCAACACATTACACTCGGTGTAGTGGGTGCATTCAAAGGCCTGGATTTAAGATTTTAGTGTGATTCTGTGGTTGCACCTGTTGTCCTATCGCTACAGCTTTATACCTTTTGCCAAATGTCCATGTCTTATTTCTCCTCTCAGGGTTCGGACAGTGAGCTGAAGGTGGAAAAAGATGCGTCGTCGGATAGCGAGGCCAAGGTGGACTCAGGAGTCCCAGAGGTGCCGGTCCCTGCTGATGACACCCCCGAGGTTCTGAACAAGGCCCTGTCTGGACTCTCCTCAAGGTACCGTCGCTGTTGAAGAGAAGAAACAACAACATATTGTTGCATTTTGTCTGCAGTAATAATAGTTGTTTCTAAAGTATATGACTGTAAGGCATGGGGTTGAGGTTGTATTCTGAGTTGTTCATTGAGTAATTACATTGTTATATATAGAGTTACTACATTTCTCTATATAGAGCTACAGGCCCCTGGATTTCCCTGGTTTTCCCTGGCTACACCTGTGGAGGTGTCATGAATCATACAAAGGAATCCCTCGTCACACATAGTTTCCTTTAAAGAGCAGATGTGACTCAATGAACTCTTCAATGAACTCAATGAACTCTACCTGTGTTCCTTGCAGAAAGGTTCATGTTTAGGATGGATGAAGGAGTACAGTAGCCGTATTGATTTTAATCTCTATTTAACAGTAATCTTATGGGTTGTATGCAGTAATGCCTCTCTGGCTGTGTTTCCTTCAGATGGAGGAACTGGTGGGTCCGAGGCATCCTCACACTCGCCATGATCTCCTTCTTCTTCCTCATCATCTACCTGGGCCCCATGGTGCTTATGATGATCGTGAGTATCAACAACGCTGATGGTGCGGTGCAAAAGCTCGGAAGTTCATTTTCTCAATGAGTTGTACTGTGTATTAGGGTTCGTACAGTTATTTGTCTCTGCAGCGCGTTCAGTTCAGTTTCATAAATGAAAAACGCAATCTCATGGATTAATGGGATTCAGGCTCTTTAATAGCGTGCAGGATTTCTGCTACTGTCATCTGGGAATTCACTAAAAATAGGCCCGTCAGCCATTTTGTGTCACTAGGACAGCAGAACGTAGGACACACACACACACACACACACAGAAACTTGGAGATGCTCCAGTAGTCTCCTCCCTGGTGACGCAGTGTTTCTCTGTGCAGGTCCTCATTGTTCAGATTAAGTGCTTCCAGGAGATCATCACCATCGGCTACAGTGTGTACCACTCCTACCACCTGCCCTGGTTCAGGACGCTGAGCTGGTGAGGACTCACACACACACACACACACACACACACACACTGTCACACATTTTATAGAGGTGTGTCGTTAACATCATCAAATATCCTCACTGGCTTCTTTCTTATGGTGTATGTTTCATGTGTTTATTTTATTGCAGACTTCCTGAGGTTTGTTTTGTGACCTGATTATGTTTTGAGTAGGTTGTAGATTATTAAGCCAATCAACGAAAAGGGCAAAAATATTGTGAATCATCAGAGCTGGTTGATTTTTAGCAATAGTGGTGTACAGTATAGTGTGATAGATAGCAGAGTCCTGACATTCATTATGCCATAAGCCTGAACAATCTAAAGTGTTCTGCATGTAGTTAGTAATTTGGACTTGCAGAACATTTGACCATCCAACTGTAGTCATACAGTGAATTTATTCACATGGCCTCACTGGCTTTCTGCAGGCATACTGAATGCAGAGTGTGATCAGCTGCTGTCATAAAGCCGTGATACATGTCCTCCACCACACAGGTACTTCCTGCTGTGTGTGAACTACTTCTTCTACGGAGAGACCGTGACCGACTCCTTCTTCACACTGGTGCAGAGGGAGGAGCCGCTTCGCATCCTCAGCAAATACCACCGATTCATCTCCTTTGCCCTCTACCTCATGGGTACAAACGCTGAGACCCAAACTGCAAAACTGCTTTGTCTGTGAGAAGTCCCACTTCCTGTACTGCAGGTTTTCAGTCGGTAATTCAGTTCTACTGCAGCTGCAAACAGGATGTGGTGAGGAAGGAAGCACCCTGAATGTTTGCTATCTCTTGCCTACTTGATTCAAGGTGAAACTGAAGGGCCCGGCTTTCTCACACGGCTTTCTCACACGTCTTTAAACAGAAGAACTCTAAAGATAACGGTGTCACACCTTCAAGTCCCAGAAAATACTCCAATCTGCAGTGTTTTGGCACGACATGGCATTTAGTTTTTTAGATGCTGCAGATGTTGCATCTTGGAAAAGAGTAAATGTCCTTGTAAAAGTTTACAGTGTGTCTGGTTTGACTCTTCTCCCAGTATAAGCACTTTTTTTTTTGTCTCACGCATTCTCCTCACCTCAGTCTTGTGTTCAGTATAAAACGCTGCAGCAATCCTAACCTACTCACTGCACATTAACTCATCTGAAAAAGGTCAAGCTAAATTTAGTCGAGTTTGAGCGAAGATGACCGGGATTCTGACTTTAATTAATCTCCCTCTTCTCTCAAGACACTGCAGCCCTGATTATTTTCCCCCTTATTAAGTATTTCAAGCAGTATTTGTCTTGTTGTTGCAGGTTTCTGCATGTTTGTGCTGAGTTTGGTGAAGAAGCACTACCGCCTTCAGTTCTACATGGTAAGTGGCACCCGGCCTCCTCCTGGGCTCCAGCCTCGAGGCTACTGGGTTATTGATGGGGCTCCGTAAAATACGGGCCCTCAAGTGTACGGAGAAGTGGGTTAGGGTCATTCCGACTCTTCGGTTGTGTTAACCAGATGGACAGCCCACCCCACGTAACTATCTCATGTCTTAAACTAATTCTGAAAGAAGATATTGATGCTGGGAGAGAGTGCAGAGCAGAGGCAGTTCAACAGCTCGTCGGTTGAGTATGACCACAATATGTTCCTCTCTGTAAGTGAGCAGTGCTGCTGGTTCTTAATGGCGATGATGAGACGCTGCCTCCACTCACAGTATCCAACCACATTATTGATCTAATCAAGCTGTTATCTGGTCTCGTTTGAGCTGAAACCCATCACAGTAATCTCTGGGTGGTGTCTGACCAGAATACCCTGTGTTCTTACTATTTGTCCAGTCTGTCAATTGATATTTAGAACAAAGACACAATCATTAAATCAATAGTGCAGCTCTCATTTCAGACTCATCTTCGTGGAAACATACTCGGCTAATCTTGTTATTTTGTCCCCACAGTTCGGTTGGACCCATGTGACTCTGCTGATTGTGGTGACTCAGTCTCACCTTATCATTCACAACCTGTTTGAGGGGATGATCTGGTAAGAAAACATATATAATATATCAAATATATATTATTTTTCTCACAGAAAAATGGCTCCTTTCTGTAAAATGATGTTTGAATCCGATTCTGTTAACTTTGTATGTTGATTTGCAGGAGGATTAGCTCGCACATTGTATTACTTTATCATACATGTTTAGTTGTCATAAAACCTGTTTCATGTCTCATGTACACTCTTCTCATCTGAACAGGTTCATCGTGCCAATTTCCTGCGTGATCTGTAACGACATCATGGCCTACATGTTTGGTTTCTTCTTCGGCCGCACCCCTCTCATCAAGGTTGGTCGTATCACTGTTATTTCTTTCTCCAGTTTGGTTGTATTGCCAGGGTAGGTCAACCATCACCAGTGTTTAAGAGGCCTGGGTATTGACTTTATGTTATGGAAACAGAAAGATGATTGTGTGGTCCATGATGATATATTAACCTGGTATCCACACCTTGACTGTGTTCTCTGCAGCTCTCGCCTAAGAAGACATGGGAGGGATTCATCGGTGGATTGTTCTCCACTATTGTGTTTGGCATTATGGTGAGATTTTAATCTCATGTCTTTGTAGACATTTCTACATTTTGTCTGTTTTGATTCTCATCACAGCGTCAACAAGTTTTTACCAATTCCAGGCATTCCTTTTGTCTAAAATCACAATCTTGGGAGTAGTTTTAGTCTCTGGTTTAAATTTTCATTTTTATTTCTTTTGGAATTTTTTACCTCAGAAAGATGCTGAAATACCCACTTGTGTTTTTATTAGTAGCTGTTTAGACTATTGTAATTACCTTTTCACTGGATTACCTAAGAATTCTAAAAGATCAGATAAAATACTCCTTTATTAGTCCGACAACAGAACATGTGCAGTGTCGCTGCAGCAAAGGGAAGAAGTTTAGTTCAGAATGACAATGGATTACATTTTTGCACACTGCACTGGCTGCCTGTATCATTTAAACATGTATCTGAAAGATCTTTTACTTGTTTATTAAGCTTTTAGTGACTTTCATTGACACAAATGACTTCATGCTTTGCCTCTAAAGAATTTGCCCATTCGTGTGCTAGTCAAACATTTCCCCCCAACAGTCAAACAACCTAATTTACTTCAACATTGTGTTTGTAAAAGGACTCCTGTGTACACACAAGTCAACATGCAGTGGTGTCACCTGCAGCGTTGTGTGGTTCTGACTGTATTAACAATAATTACATATCACTAATGCAACAAGTATTTATCTTGCCTCTGGATATTAGAACGGCAACAACTCGACAAACACTGCGGGGTTGCAGGATTTCTTCTTCTTTAGTCATTGTTTGACTGAAATGAGAGCGAGCAGGCCAGTGATGCGACTGCAGAGTAACTGAAGCTTGTTCTCCTCTCAGTTCTCCTATCTGATGGCCGGCTACCGCTACTTTGTGTGCCCGGTGGAATTCAACAACGACTCCAATAGTTTCCAGGTGTACTGTGAGCCATCCGAGCTTTTCCAGCTTCAGGTCTATACTCTGCCCGCCATCCTGGAGTCCTTCACTGGATGGGTGAGACTCACTCCTCCTGCTCTCTCCGCCATCTTTTTGCTTTTCCTGTGTCTCTTTGCATTACGGCTCCTCAAGTCACATACAATCTAATGGGAACATGAAAGGAGGAAATATTTATATAATAATAATAATAATAATACATTTTATTTATATAGCGCTTTTCAGAGTACTCAAAGACACTTTACATTAAAATCATTATATATAAAAGCAATACACTAACAACATAAAATACACTATCGGTCACACATTAAAAGCAGTTTTGAACAGGTGATATTGCAATATCCAGTACATTGTGACAAAGTATGAGAGGAGTCCTATATTTTCGTAGCATAGTGTATTGTTGCAGCATCCTTACCAACCTTTCAGGGGTGGACCATGCCTGACTGATATAATACAGCAACTCTGTAAACGTATGGAAAAATATACTGTAATATCTAACTTTTTTGTTAAAAAATTAAAATTCAACTTTTTTAAATTTCTGTCAGGACCTAGCTAGTCGTTTTAGCTCACATATTATAACAACAAACTTATAAAATGGGTAAAGGATGTGGAGTTACCCTTCTATAAGTCAGTCTGTTGATAACTGCTTTCATCTGTTTTGGTCAAACACTTCCTCCTCGTCTCCACAGAGCACCGTGCGTCTCTACCCGTTCCAGATCCACAGCATTGCTCTCTCCTCCTTTGCCTCCATTGTGGGACCTTTCGGTGGATTCTTTGCCAGCGGCTTCAAAAGAGCCTTTAAGATCAAGGTAGGAATGATGGACACCTGTACCTGCAGTCTGCTGACGGTACTCATTGTACTGTTCAAAGATATATTCACGTAGTCTACTTGGTGTTGCCCTGCTCATGTCTATCAGATATGAAATATTCTATACTGTGTTTGCAAAACTTAATAAATTACATCTGTTAATGTCTGTTGACTCCACTCTATTTATATATATATATATTATTTATTTATTTTCTTCTTTGTCCTTTCAGGACTTTGCCAACACTATCCCGGGTCATGGTGGCATTATGGACCGATTCGACTGCCAGTACCTCATGGCCACATTTGTTAATGTCTACATTGCTAGCTTCATCAGGTAAACACACTTGACACTTGAATATGTTGATTAGCAGTTTGTGGTAGTAACATGGGAAGATTTAATCATCAAAGTTAGTCGTCATTTTTTGAACACCGGGTCCTTAATTTCAGATTTCTTGCCGGCTACGATTAATTTTGGCAGTTGTAATCACATCTGTCGGTGGATCCTGTGTGAATGTGTGAATTCAGCTGTCCATCACACAGCGCTTCATTTCACTTGGTGCTCAGAGTTCGCTCTGCCGATTAGACTTGGGTCGGTTCAGACATAAAAAGAGAACTCCTGTCGTATTCGGGTAGGGCTTGGTAACGTTAGAGTTGGTGATGTTAGAGCAGACTCGTACACTCTTTAATCCACTCCTTACAGGCGTGGCTAGGTTGCTAAACTGTGATTGTTCAATCCATGTTTCAGAAGAAAGGATTTAATAAAAGCTCAGTTCTGTCGAGGTCATTTTGGATAGAGGGTGTACGATTATCTTCTCCCTCCTCTCAGGGGCCCAAACCCCAGCAAGGTGATCCAGCAGCTCCTGGCCCTCCGTGTCGATCAGCAGCTCTACATCTTCAACTCCCTGAAGGCTCACCTGACGGAGAAGGGCCTGCTGGCAGCGCTGGAGGACGCCGTCGCCTAGAGCCACCCGACCCGAAACACCGGCTCGCCATGAGAGGAGGACCACAGTGGAGGGCAGCACCCGAGGGGCCCCGTGTAGCTCCGGAGCTCTGAGAGACTGGCAGTGCTTTTGTGTGAGCGAAAAAAAACAAAGAAAACTACAAAAAAACACCCTACAGTCTTGGGTCATTCCATTTCATTTGGGTATGAGAGTCGAGTGTGTTTGTGTTCATGCAGTCTGTGAATCATTCAGTGTTTTCAGGTTGAGTTAGTGAGTTACTGTACCGTTAAACATTTCCATTATCACCAACTTGTATCTATTCACACTGTTGACCAAAATGTTGGTCCGCTGTACACTTCTACCTGCATACAAGATATCCTCTATGTACCTATCGATGTGTGTTCACATTTTATTGTACTCTTGATTGTGTTTTTAGTTTTAATGCACTGCTCTCAACCCTGTCACTCACCCCCTCCCCACTTCAAGTTTTTATTTTCTTTGTTGTGATTGTTTCTATTTATACATGGATGGTTTTTATATTTGGTATGTTTTCTTATATCTTAATGTTGTGTGTTTTAGACTGTATTCACCTTTGCCATCTGCCACGTGCATTCGTGTGTCTTTTCTCTGTGTTTTTGCTGCCATTCATCATTTTTAAAGAAAAAGGCCTCTCCTGCTCAGCCAAACCATTGAGTAGTAATAGTGTGATTTATTGTCAAAGGACAGGAACAGTTAGTTGGTGCTGTGCTGTAAGGCGCAGTGAGCGCTGCTCCTTACTAAATGCTTTATTATGAAGGCCAGTGCGACGGATACCAGCACCCCTTTCAGCACGTCACAATGTTCCCTCACCTGGTTGCCATTTCATATTTCATGTCAAAAGCAGAACGACTCTTAGAGATGGAACAGAATCATTTTTTTCTTTTTTGTTTAATTGACTCGTTCTGCGTTAATACTCATTTTATCTCTAACGAGGAGCTGGTTTGGGTTTCATGCTCTGTAAATTGGTGGGATTGTTGCATTATGGCTTCTGTTTGAGACGACGTTGGGATTGGACCGTACAAATAAGGCACAGTAATGGGTCCTACGCTGCCGAGATCTGCTTCTCTCTGTTGTCGCCATGTTCACGGCTTCAGAGCAGAAAGCCAGAATATACAGTCTGTCTGTCACGTGGTTGAGTTAACCTGTATGTGTGACAGCTGTTGTGATGTCATGCGTCTGATGTTCAGGTTGTTTGTCAACAGCAGTCAGTGCTCAAGAGGTTCTACAGTAGGATTCTGTGATATTTATACCACTGGCAAATGTTTGCTTCATTTGTTTGGTGGTAAAATATTAAAGGTGTCGAGTTCATTTCTGGAGAATTCTATGTTACCAGCTGTTAAAGGGACGCCCCCGATCTTAACCGTGAGGATGAGTTTACTCGTATTGCGACCCTGCGAGACGTTCTACAACCGTTTTCACAAGAGTCTGAGAAAATGGAAAATAGCCGTGATGATGTCATAGTGATGTTGTTGGGGTAATCTTGAATTGCGTTTGGAGAATTTTAACATTCGGCCTGCGTTACGAAAAACATGGACATTTAACAGTCAGGGATTGTGTTGCCTTATGGGATGTAGGAGAATGTTATGCACATAGGGACTAGAAGTCAGGATGTCTCTGCCTGTGGTGCATCAGTCTGTTGGATGCTTCACTAAGCAGATTAAATAGCATTTTAAGACTTGGGAAAAATGTGTAAGACTTTTTGCTGATATTGTTTCCTGAAAGGTTTTGTAAATTTGGCTCATTGACATTTTTGAAAGACTACAAAATGTTTAAATTGTTAAAAGTTAAGATGATAATTAAATCTAATTACATGGCCATTATTATTCACATGTTTGTGGGTTGTTTTGTAGAAATGGTGGCGCTATAAAGGAGCAGCAAACACAGCGGTGTATTCAGTGTATGGGCACAACTCTGGTTAGACAAAATTAGACTCTAATTACCATAATCATCAACCAATCACCTCAAGCTGTCCATCATGTTTCTGCACATTCATCAATTTGTTTTTTATCCATTCGGAGACAATAATTGATTTATCGTTGTCCTTGAAAGCCACATAACTCTGGAGGTTTAATGTAGTATTATAGGTGTTGATGTCACCCCGACAGAACTACTTCTGTGCTCAATGTTTGAGGACAAAACAGCAATATGAACAACCATACAGTAATCGGTGTAGCAGGGATGCGATCAGTATCTAGGTGTCCCTAAATGGTAATCATATAAAACAGCTCTTATCTGTCTCCAGTGAATGACTGCTTCACTTAATCAACACTTGGGGAAAAGTTTGCTCCCTTAAATTTCCTCTCATCAGATTCTGTCTTCAAAAACGTCGATGTATTTTTAAGAAAAGGACGCAAATGTTTTGTAACGCAAGAAAATTGCTTATTCTATATGCCAAATCAAAATTCAGATGAAAAGAACCACTGTATAAACCAAGCCTTCGTTTATCTTGTCTCCTCCTATTTGAATGTCCCTCCATTCATATTTTTATTGACGTCATGTTTTTGGTTTGACCTGCGTGATAACCAACCTGTCTTACGCTTAAACTTCTTAAAGTATTTATTTTATTTACTGTAAGAAAACCTTTTTAGAGTCACTATATTGTATATTTAAGAAGATGTTTAGAGAGATGTTGAGTGTTCTTTAGTATCTTTGGTTAGAGGAATATTTAAAGTATTATTATTATTGCCATATAGGAGAGAGTATTGAGATAGCAGAAAAGTATTTTCTCTCCGTCTTGCTGTGACTTCAGTGCAGTTTGCGTGTTTTCTAGGCTCTTCCCCTCGTAGCTGTCATGTGTCAACTTCTATGTCGCGGTGCAAGTTGAAGCAACGCAGATACTTGTAGCGCTGTGTTGCATCGTCTCCCTTTTGAGTAGGCAGGAAGTCTCCAGAAAGTAACACCAGGACTGGTGTCTCAGCATTCGTAGATATCTTATATTTCTTCTGGCATCACCGCCTGCTGTGGTGGTTTGATGTCTGAGTTTTTAAATCCCTGCAGCTCTGTACTGCCATTCCTCTGTCTGGTGTTACAGTCGGCCACTAGAGAGAGCTGGAGCTCCTGGTGTCGGCCGATCGAGTGCAACACTGATGCTGCATCTGAGCAGAAAGCTTTGACCCTTTGCTGTTTGATACATTCCAGTTCCCCTCAGATTTGCTCACATGGAGGCAGAATATAAGAGACAAACTTACCACTATTAGAAAAAATTAAATAAAGATTGTTTTTGTTTTGTGGCACCCAGGGAACACCATGCCATTTAATCAACACAGTGCCACTTTGCTGTTGTGAATCCTGCCCAGCCAGGACCCTCTCAAAGGAATGTATGGGAGTTGTGACTGTCCAACATGCTGTAGGCTCCCCTTTGTGGACGTTTTATTTTGTGGTTATAGATTCTCTTATAAAGCTGTATGATTTCAGTATATTGTTCTTAAACTGTGTAATGGTTTGTGTTGAGTTGTACACTTGTCTAGAGAAAAATTGTACTCTTTGATGCTGAAATGTGCTTTGCCTTTGTTCAAAGAAAATTAAAGGTGTTAAAAAAAGGGTGATGTGTGACTGGTTTCTTCCCTCTTGGTCTTCTTCCCCATTCTCAAATAGATATCCATTCAATCTGTTTCCACCAACTGACCCATTTTACAATAGTAGTTTATGTCTTTAAAGATGGGGGAAACATTGCTACCACTGTATTCAAAGGTCAGTAGATGATACCTCAGGATTTGACCTCAAGATGTATACTTTTATAAATACTCCCTCTCTGCTGCAGTCGCATGGCAGCCTGAGCTGTGAAGCGACACTGAATGGGTGAAAACCATTTCCTCTAAAACACACCCATGGTTTCTTTTTGTGACACCAGTGAACGTTAGTCATTTGAAAAGTCCCCACATGAAGCCCTGGAGCCCTGCACCTTTTAGTGAATCAGCCTGGAAGCCATTTATGCAGATCGCTATCAGAACAAGTATGAACATGGAAGTAAAGGCAACATGAGGGGACGTGTTTAGAAGGGCTTAAAAAAAAAAAGAAGAAGAAGAAAGATTAACACACAGGAAGTATGATCTGCGATATCTCAAGTTTGTGTGATTGTGTTGTTTGAGTGTGTATCAATTTGTGTGTGCGTGTGTGTGTGCTCGGGTGGGCTGTACGTGTGAAATCGGACGCTGACCTCTGGTATGAGTTGAGGACAATGTCTCTGAAACTACCTCGCAACTGGGACTTCAGCACCTTCAAGGCTGAGACAGCTCGCATAGGTAAGCCGTTGGTCGTGCTGCGTTCACTGTCAGCAGAGTGGATGCTGCACTTCCACTCATATTTGGCACTTTACAGTTTGGACATTTAACTGCTCCTTAAACTAGCATTTTCTGTCAAACCAAAGTAAAAAAATGTATCTAGCACAATGTATCTAGTGTGTATCTAGCACAGTTTCTCTTTATTATTAAGAATATTACTGTTGCATATAAATTCATGGCAGCATAATTGAAATTATGAATCTGTACTTTGTTTGAGCAGTGTTGGTTTTTGACCATGTTGGTGGTTGCTTGCTATGTGGTGATGGTAACCAGTGTGTTATTGGACCATTTTTCTTCACACAAATCACTGTCATCTAATACAGAATGTATACGAATACATTATGGTACTACATTAAAACATGACTCGACATTTAAAACTTTAAAGTGCTTTTCTTAAAGGGACAGTAAACATGAACAACTCTCTCATGTGGGCCTATAAAGTCTGGTGCTTCTCCATAGACAATGTATTAGGAAAGATGTTATAGATTACACTAAGAGCACCCTGGGAAATTAGTATATTTTGCATCTTCAGGTTTAGAAGTGAGAACACTGTAATAATTTGACACCAAATATTGATTTAAAAAAAGATTTTAGTGTTTTAAGAATGATTTTATTTGAACTTTCCTAAACCATGGAAATAACATATTGGAATTCTTAATTTTGGTGGTGCTCCCCTGTAAGTCACCAGTAACCAACTGCATGCAAAACTATGATGAGTATTTTAAAGTGACTGTACAGCCGTCTAGACTGACTAATACAGTGCTTACCACAGTTTGCATAGGGCGGAAACAGTGCAATAACATGCCTTGTACCATGTGTCAGGTTTGGATGGCACAACAGTTGCAACATTCATATAAAAGAGGATTGCACACAAGCAGTAATGGGATAAATGATCTGCTTCTGTTCATGGCATGCATCATTTTCTCTCCAGCTCTAATCATTTTCACAATCAGTGGTACTGGTTGTTCAGCCCGGTGGAAGGAAGTATCTGCCTGTTGCACATTTATTTTATCTGCTTCATGTTGACTGAATATCAGTCGCTATTATTGTCACGCTCTTGCTTTAGTATGAAAGCATAACTTCCAAAAAGATGTTTTATGGACCATGACTGTGACTGATTTTATACCCATGAACTAAAGTGATGTAGATTTTCAACAGGAAACTGATGCAAGAGCTCCGTTTCTGCAGAGCACTGACTTTGAAGCTGTCTGTATGTAACTGGACCAACATGTGTGTGTGTGTGTGTGTGTGTGTGTGACGTGTGTGCAATGTATGTTTGTGCAAAGTCCTACTGCATCTAGCCTTTCAGACAGATTTGGAAAGGACAACCACAAACCAGACTGACCTGACTCTTCCTGATTTAGTTAACATTCCTCATCTGCTGTTTCAGGATTAAAGACAAGTGATAGTTGGACATTTTGGGAAATATGCTTATTTGCTATATTGTTGAGAGTTAGATGAGTAGATCGATCCCACTCTCATGCATGTGCATTATATATGAAGCTATATCCAGCAGCTTAACATAAAGACTCAAAACAGGTAGACAGGGGGATTTTTGTTACCTTAAGACAGAGCCTGGCTAGCTGTTCCCCCTGTTTCCAGTCTTTATGCTAAGCTAAACTAACCAGCTAACAGACAGACATGAGAATTGTATCGTTCTTCTTAACGCTTAGCAAGAAAGCAAATAAATATATTTCCTTTGAATATTAATTCTGTCATCTCTGACTGCTGCCAGATCATGAATTAATAGGAAGTGTATACAAATCTTGATCCTATTATCAATTCATTATTGTGCACCCAATTTTAAATTTCTCCAGGTGGATATTTAACCATGAAATCTGATGACATGACAAATGTCTCCCCCATAGTCAGTAGAAAACTTTCTTTCATTCTCCCTTGTACTTATCTTGATGTAAAAGTATTGCACTTAACATTATCTTCTTATGATAGTGCGCACTGGACGCGTCTTTGTAGTGCTGTGGGAGCACGAAATGAGGCCAGTTTGAAGTAGCCGTGCGTTTGTCAGCTGTGGGTGTGGTGTGACATCGGCCTCTGTGTATGGGCTCAGGGTTCCTCAACGGCACTTTAACTTTCCACGAATCAAGGGAGCGTGATGCTTATAAAATTAGACCAAAGGACTCTCAAACGTCTAGGTGGAGACCTTCAAAGTGTCGCCGGCCATCCGGCGATGATGTGGTAGCTTCCTGTTTACCCCAGTGCGGCCCTGCTTCTTCTCTTCTGTGCTATCATCTTGCTTAACAAGACACGGTGAATTTAAGAACAACTAGGCGTGTGGGCTCAATCTCAATCCAGCTATCTCTGCAGTCCACAGCCCTGCGTTACTCAGTCCGTCCCCATCTGACTCTGCCTTCTCTGGGCCACGTAGACCTCTGCCTCTGTTCTTTCATCAAACCATCAACTCAACTGAAAATGAGACTTTGTGCCAGTTTCAGGATACTCAATACAGAAGTTAATGTCGGATCTTTCTAGCTGTTTGATGGCCGGACTTTTGCAAACCACTGTGCTATTTAGAACAATCACAGCTGCATTTGTGCACCTTCCACAGGAAACATGGTCAGTTCAGACCAACAGTTTCCACTCAGCCTGAAACTGTGGGGAACAAAAATAATCTACAGTGAGCAGGTTTCTCAAACTTGATAGGCTGATAGGATTCATGTCAAAAAGAGGAAGTGCTCTCCTTCAGCTCAGTAGAGCGCTGATGTTTTGGTAATGTTTCACAGCTCCGGCTGTGACACAGTGAGTCGGCGTATTTTGTTGTTCACAAGACGTTTACCAACAGCTTTCTTGTGGTGTTTGGCAGCGCGATCCAGGAGTGTGGTACCTGGAGAGGGAGGCCCCAGCCCGGGCTCACCGCGCTCCCCCAGATCCATGGAGAGGCCCCTGAAGGCCGGCTGGCTCAAGAAACAACAGAGGTCTTTAGTCAAGAACTGGCAGCAGCGTTATTTTGTGCTGAGAGGGAGCACTCTGACTTACCACAAAGATGACAAGGAGACCACTATCCAGGTGAGACAAAGGGAATTTAGTAGATTTTACCCCGTACTACTATTATCTTAATCATGATGTAATTCGTTGTGCTCTTCTTGTCCTTTTTTGGCACAACACACATTATTTCCAAAGCAATTCATACAAAAAATACATATCAACATTAAAATACTACAATAACTTCTTTAATTTGGCACATGCAGTAACTCATATCAAAATCATTTCAATACCTCAATTACATGTTCTACTTCTGTTACACATCCGGTGATGTAAAAGCAAACCTAACTAACTATTATCTAACTATAACATCTAGTTATCTTAAATTAGCATTTTTCGGTATTAAACGTTGTTGATGGATTCATTCATGGGTTAATAAGAAATGTGTCAGTTATAATTTCCAATGAAAACCACAAACACTTTAGCTGTGTGGCTAACTTTGCACACTTCCTGTAAACAAAACAAATGGTGCTTGAAGCCTCGAAAGAGAGCCTTGCTGCCATTCAAAGACTTTTTTGTTACAATGTTATCTAATCCACTGGTTTACGCTCTTGATCAACTATCCAACCAAGATCCCACGGTCTTTGTAATGATGCTGTAGATCTGTCTGTGTGGGGCCAACGCAAGATGTTAATTCTCTCCTTACCTGTGTGGACATACCTTCACAAATGCAATGTAGAGACATGACTCTTCCATTGTCTCATTACTTGCTTGAATTTCAACTGCTTTGACACCATATATGCAGGGAGCTTGGTCAAATATGCAGACCATATTAATAATGTGTGAAATATTCAAAACAAGCAAACATAAAAAAAAACAAGTTTACTTTGTGTTCACCCCTCCTCTTGCATCTGTTGTTCTTCTCCCTTTACTTCCTGTGTCGAAATGAGTGATGGTGAAACAGGAAGGGAGAGTAGCATTCATGTAAATAACCTTAATCGCATCCAGAAACACTAAACAAGCACAAGCACATTTGTTCTTCTTTATATGTTTCTGCTTGATTTGAGTTGCTTACTTTACGATTGCTTTTGAATTTGTGTTTGCTTGTGTTGTTTTGTTGATTATTTGACTTTTGTGTGTGCTGATGAGGTGAGATTCCTCCTATAAACCCAGACGGGTTAAATCTCACCTGTACAACTTGCTTCTTTTCTTCTATGAGTCGTTTCCCCGTTTGGCTTTGGTTTTAATACAGAAATAAAGTAGTGGAGCAGTGGGTGGAGGTAGAGGAAATGGGCTGAGTATATGGTGAACTGGGGAATATACTGGACTGTACTGTATCTGCTGTAATGTAAAGAGTGAACTCATAGAACATAAGTAGACCCTTGTGAAATGATAATAGATGTTTCCGTGTGTTGTACATCTGCAAAAGCCCATTTGATACAACGTTGCCACAATAAAATAACACCTGCAGAGGAAATACCTGCTGACACTTTAAAAAGACGCAGACTGCATGGACTCTCTGGTAAATCTGAAAAGTGTACAGTTAATATTAGGGTAGCCTATGGTGGTCTATGAATGAATGAATGTAAACATTAATATAAATATCAGTGCTTGGTTCTTGACTTCTAGTTTGGACATGACACTAACATGCCTTTTTCTCTGTGTGTTTGTGCTCCTGTTTCTTTGGTCTGCAGGGAGTCATCCAGCTGCGGTTCAGTAAAGTGAATGACCTCCCTCCAAGCTCAGATGACCCCGGAAAGTACTTCTTTGAGATCATACCACGTAAGCATGTAATCGACCCTTAAAAGGAAGCAGAACTGAACTGACTTTACAGTGGAAAAAGTGTTTTTGCTTGTAATAAGAAAAGAAATCTGCCAATGGAATAAAAATGATCATTTTTAAGATTTCTTGAAATAAGACTAAGAATATATCACCTATTATATAAAATGTTATGTGATTGTGTCTTATATTAATGGTGCAATATACGACAGGAAACAACTATTATCTATGTAAAGATAAATAATGTCTACCTGAGCAGAGAATGAAGTCGCTTTCCTTCTGCGTGTATTGTTAGCCAAACTCCTTCTTAATTTGTTGACAGCTTCTGGTTGCAAAAAAAAACAAGATGGCAACGACCAAAATGTCAAACAGGCTTCAAAACTGTAGTTCACAAACCATCCGGTGACATCACAGTGACTACGTCCCCTTCTCATAGACAGTCCGTGTGTGGCACTTGAATGCATCTTTGTGTGCAGCAGTGATACATCAGTACTGTCCACTTCATTGCCTTCATTGTCCTGTGTGCTACTAATTACTAATTTCAAATCAGGTTACATGTAATTTTGCGGTATCCGTTATATGAGTCAGCACTTATGTACATGTGTGGTGGAAAGTCAGAAACTAGCACAAACCGATAGCAATCTCAATCTTCACCGGACATATTTATAGAAATTTCCCATGTTCTGACTGGCGTATCTGTTCTGCTAAAGGTTTTTCTGTACCAAGATGGATTTTTTCCAATAATACCCATCATTTCACAGGTACAACTAGAGACAGAGAGCGATGTCCCTATGTGTTCATGGCAAACTCCCAGAGTGACATGGAGGAGTGGGTCCGCACTCTGCGCAGAGTCATTGGAGTACCAACAAGTGGAGGTTCAGTAAAACCTTATATTGTTATGGAAACTATGGTTATGTATGACACTGCAACTAGAGAAATAGTTGGATATTTTGGGAGTGCATTTATTCACTTTCTTGCTGATAGTTAGATGAGAAGATTGATGCCACTCTAAAGTCTGCACACCGAATATGTAGCTGTAGCCAGCAGCAGGTAAGCTTAGCTTATCAAGACTGGAAACGGGTAAACAGATAGCCTGGCTCTGTCCAAAAAGAAGATATATATATAAATCTGCCTCACAGCATTTCTAAATCCAGCAGCTGCTAGCTTGGCTGAGGATAAAAAGGAGGAAGTAAGAAAAACACTGCTCGCTGCTCAGAAATAGTTTGTGCTGGTTGGGGTTTCTTGTTACCTTTGGACAGAGCCAGGCTAGCTTTTTCCAGTCTTTATGCTAAGCTACTCTAAGCTAACCAGCTACTTACTGTAGCGAGAGAATAGGCAATTTCTCAAAATGTCAAACTACCACTTTAAAGTAAATAAATGTTTACTTGTGCAACATGTTTTCTGATTATACTGTATGGACATTACTGGTCCAATATGTCATGTCTTTCTGTCTGACTGCAGTGTTTGGAAAGGGTCTCATGGACACAGTAACATATGAGCAACGGTTTGGGCCTCACATGGTGCCAATCCTGGTGCAGAAGTGTGTGGAGTTCATCAAAGAGCACGGCCTGGATGAAGAGGGCATCTTCCGTCTCCCGGGTCAGGACAATGCTGTGAAACAGTTCAGAGACGCCTTTGATGCAGGAGAGAGACCCTCCTTCCCCAGGTAAGGAACTCCTGTTTCCCTCTGTATATCCTGGAGCCATATGAACCATTCAATGAAAACTCTTTAATTACTTTATTATTATTATTGTTTATTGGAAGCCTCTAACATGAACTGACTCCAAAACCTTTGATCTGACTCCACACAAGCATGTTTCAGACTTAGTAGTAGTATTGTGCATTTGCATGTACTGGGGGTTTGTATTGTTATTGAAATACACAGCCAGAACTGAGTATAAGTGATTATAAAACATCACACATTTCAAAAAGGCCAAAAATGTCCTTGGAAATCCTTTTCAGCCTTCTTTAAACCTCGTTGGTATGAATGATATAGAACTTTAAGAAGGTCACTGCTATAAAAGGAGAACAAAAATCCTTCCCTTAATCAACCAGCACAAGCTTTCTGTCTTTCTGAGAAAGCAAGGAGAGATGAGAGAGATACAGAGTGTCGGATAGATTTCTGTCTGTTCAGATCTGAAGGCGATACCACATCCTGTTCTAGCCGGCACACAGGAGGAAACCTATATTACTCAACATCACAAGCTCCTCTGACAGAGCAACTTGTTTGTCTTTATTAATCTTGTGTGAGCAGAGCCAAGGAGCAGCCAGGGCTACTATGACATGCTTTATGTCAAAATAATGAACACGAGTTTTACTTTTTATTCCCCTTTTATTCCCAGATTCCATTTCTTATAAAATACAAGCCCACTCATGCAGGCCTCCTGGAAACATTATACACATGTCTAACATTGCGTTCTGTGTTTAAAGTGAGCATTCACTTAGGTGACTTAGGTAGTTTTGGAAATACCAGCAGTAGAGATTTTTCTGCCTTCTCTCCAATATAATGGAACTTTATGGCACTCAGCTTGTGGTGCTCAAAGTGCCAAAAAACATTTGAAAAACTGCTCACAACGTCCGTGGATTTTCTTGAGTAACTGGGTCATGATTTCTGGAAAGAGAAACATTGATGTTGAGTTTTTAAAATGTATATTTTTGGCGCTCTGGTCACCACAAGCCGAGTGACATCTAGTTCCATTATATTTAAGACATATTTATGGCCGATAAATCCAGAACTATGGCATCTCACACCAAAACAATCTAGATTGATAAATAGCAGTACAGGTAAGAGGAAAAATATGTATTTTTGATTTTTTTGGGGTTAACTGTCCCTTTAAGTCAGGTCAAAGGCTTCCATAAACATGTAATCAAGCAAACTGCGTGTCAATGTGTGCAGGTTCCTTTCAAGGTTAACTGTCCCTTTGAGGTTTGAATGTCTGTTATACTGTAAGTGGATGTTCATTGGATGATATGCATCATATGCGCCGCAGTGACACTGATGTCCACACGGTGGCGTCTCTGCTCAAGCTGTACCTCCGCGAGCTTCCTGAGCCCGTGGTGCCCTGGACTCAGTACCAAGACTTCCTGGACTGCACCAACCAGCTGGACTCCAGCAGCACAGAGGTGCGCTTATCTAACAGAAAGCAACAATATGTGTATGCTTACTGCACATTGTGTGTGTGTGAACATGCAGGAGAGGTCCTGTGGTATTTTGAGTGCGTGTATCCTTCAATCTCTCGCTCATGTGTCCTTTCAGGGTTGGGAAAAGTTGGAGAAACAAATTGCTCTTCTCCCCAGAGTCAACTACAACCTTCTTAGTTATGTTTGCCGGTGAGTAGAAGCTGGGGCACAAAGCATTATGGGAAATTCCAATAAAATAAACATGACGCCTTTGTGGTTAGAGACAACATCCCATAATTGGACAGATATGTGTTCAGTGACATGTCCTTGACTGTACATCTACCAGAAGTTTGTCTGGTTAAAAACATCAACTAAATGCTGTTCTGAGATCAGTTTCCATCCTTTGTATCCTTTAACAATGCCGATCATTGTCTTTCTGCTTTGCAGGTTTTTGTTTGAGGTGCAGCTGCACTCCAAGGTGAATAAGATGAATGTGGAGAACTTGGCTACAGTGATGGGCATCAACCTGCTCAAACCTCAGATTGAAGACCCCATAACTGTGATGAAGGGTAAGAACGCACTGCTGATGTGTGCTGAACTAAGCTGTGTGCAGATCCACGTTGAAATGATGTGGATGTGTCTGATAATCTGATACAAAACATTAAATAATGCATTTTACTGTATTGGCTGGGAAAACATCCTGAATCCAAATGATGTGTTAAGCAATTATTTCTAGTAATACTTTCCCATGACTGCATCCTTCTCCTTTTAGACACTATATTTAGTGCAATAAACATTATTTTACAAAAAAACTTCACAAGTATTTAAATACCCTAGTATAATTTGGTACTGATGAAGTATCAAAAACCATGTGCTACTATCTCCCAAATTGCTACTGACATGGCTTACAGTATGTCTGTCTATCTGAACTGTAGATAATAGCAAAATATGAACAAGAAGTAATTCAGTATCTTTGTGTGAAGAAAGTGAATTGAGAATTTGCATAAGAACCTAAAGAGAAGACTTTTTGATGCTAATCTTTTCACGTTTGTGTTTGTTTTTGTTCGCAGCGACTCCTCAGATCCAGAAGCTGATGACAGTGATGATCAGACAGCATGAGACTCTGTTTCCTCTCTCTAAAGACGTCCTTCCCTCCCCTCCCTCAAAAAAGGCTGAAAGCCAGAAGAACACTCCCCGAAGCTTCGTCGGCTGGGAGTCTGCAGAGGTACGAGCAGTTGACCACACATTAAGCCTCTGGGATGTTTTGAATGTCCCGTTTTTTAGGGCATGTTCAAAATGAAACAGGATTAAACAGCCTCACAGTCAGAAACAATTACATTTAGTGATAAAGTTGCCATGTTTTCAAACAGTGATAAAAAATGTAATACGCTTTCACTTCCTTGCTGATAGATACCACTCTCAACAAACACTATAAAAGGCCTAAAACATATGTAATTGCCATCTCTTTAACCAGATTTATGTCTGTGCCATATTCATATTTTCAAAGTGGTTCAGTTAACGGTTGCTCTTCAACTGAAGTTTATTTCTTCCTCCATTTCTTCCCCCTGACTATAAAATAACATTTGCACATAAAAGATTCATATTTGTATTTCATTTTGAGTGATGTGTTTGTCTCAGATGGGTGATGCGTCGCTGTCTGAGTCTCCAGAAGAGGAGGAGGACATTGACAGTCCAGGTCCAGGCAGAGGAAACTGCAGCCCCCAAAACATGTGTCAGGAGCCCCGCTCCACTTCAACAGACGACTGGACGGGAAGTTCCCGCAAACGCACTCAGACCCTTCCCGCCTTCAACTGCCCGCTCACCGGGATGGCAGCCAAGGCCGACGCGCTCAACCGGTGGAGTCACATCCATGAGAGCGTGGAGGAGAAGAGCGGGACATTGTCAGAGGACATTTTTAAGATCCTGGACCTCCGGAGTTCAGGTTCATTGTTCGGGGGGCCTCAGATGAGCAACAAGGAGGGAGAGGATAAGTTATTAACAGCCCGAAGAGGAAGTGACAACACGGGTTCTTCAACTGCTGGCTCCCAAAAACCTGACAGCGAGGCCCGGCCTGCCCAGCCTGCCCGGGTGCTGCTTCATGAAAAGAGTGTGGGGAACCTGACGGGTTCAGACCAGCAGGTCAACAGCCGGTCTGAGCAGAAGAAAGACAGCCCACAGCTGGTAGACAGGTGAGGAATCACAACCAACTGGCTGCACACCAGACAGACCCTCAACAACCATTAGGCTACATGTGGTTCACACTTTTTAAGTTTTAAGATAATATTATCAATGAAACGGTTCAATGCTGTCAGGTGTTATAGGAACTATTTGGGCTTCAGGATTTTTAAAAAGATTAAAAACACTTGCAACCCAAAGAGGAGAATGCAGTCCTTCAATTCAAGCACTTAGATTGGAGTGACAAATAAAGTTAAAAGGAAAATTATATTCAGCTTTTTGTTGAGTGTATTTGTTCCAAGTACAATATTTCTTGTTTGGGGAATATTGTAGAAATGAGACCAAAGCAGATCAC